TCAGACTCTCTTATAAGACTTGAAGACTGTCCACAGGAATTAATTTAAATTGAATTACCTCCTTAGTTACTGCATCTCCAAATGTGGACACTTTATGAAGTAAAGGTGTTAGGATTTCAATATATGAATATTAGGGAAGTGCAGTTCAGTCCCTAACAGTTACCTATCCTCTTTTGAGTAGTGAAATGATGACCACTGAAAACTGGTGCTGGAAGAGAGGTGACCCATTGCTCTTTGATGATAGTTGCTGTAGTTCCTTTTAGATATAACAGGCACTCACTTATCTTGTTGATTCATAGGCTTTGTAGGACTACAGTCATTCACGGGTTCCTAAAATAAATCTTTAGGTAACCAGAGGATCTTTAAATAATTCACCAATTTAAAATTTGTGACTACTTGGATATTCATCTGGTAATCAGTTGTTATGGTGTGGCTGTGAGATGTCTCCCCAAATCTCCTGTGGTTTCTGCAGGAATATTCAGAGGTAAAATGATTGAATTGTGAAAGCTAAAACCTAATCAGTCCTTCCTAGTTTGAGTGAACTGGTTGTTAGGAGTAGGAAGGAGGACTGTGACTGGAGGAGGTACACTGGGCGTGTGTCCTGGACAGAAGCATCCCTGTGGTCTCTTCCCTCTCTCTCTCCTTCCTGACCCCACCTTAAGGTGGATCAGCTTTTTCCCACTGGAGGTTTCCGCAAGGACAAGGACTTGCTGCCTCCCTGTGGGCCCAGAGCAATGGAGTTGATTGTCTGTGGACTGAGACCTCTAAAACCTTGAATCCTAAATAATCTATTCCTACTCTAAGTGGTTATTGTCAGTGTTTTTGGTCCTAGCAATGAAAAGCTTACTAAAACGCAAGTGATAGGAGAATCACATACCAGTGAAGCGCTCCCATTTACAAGACTCTGAAGTGTTGTCTGGTTTCTTGAGGGGTGTCCTGAGGAACTAGAGCCTCCCCTCAGCTTCCAGTCACAACCAGCTACACAAAATGCAGACTTGTGTTGCCCCTGTGTAAATCTGTAGACCTTAGGACTTTCACATGCCTAAAATACCAGTTAACTGGTATATTATTTTATGAATCAGAATATGGATAAAAATTATGATTGATTAATCATAGTGACATTACAGGTAGAACTAAGGCTAGGAATGTTTAATTTCCTAGTACCTTCTAAGTTTTATAATAACCACGATAGCACAAGCTATTTTCATTGCAAGGGATTCTTCCACTAGAAAATTTTAAAAAGCCAACAAACAACAAATGATAAATACAACAACAACATCTAGTTCTCTGATAATTTGAATATATCACTTAAAACTCTAAAGGACTTTCTATTTATAGGATTAATTGGCTGGTCTTTACACAGATCAAAGTATTTAGATGCTAGATTTAAGAGATGTAAAATCAAATAAAACTCTAATAATAATTGGGTACATGAATGATGTAATTGATTCAATAATTCTTTCTAATTTTTTTTCTTAGTAAAAGGAGATAAATTTGGTGACCGGCAGACAGGGTCATTTTTTAACTTCAAATAAGATTATTAGTGAGAAGATCTCTAACTCTGAGGTAATATGCCAAAATTAATAATTGTCATTCTTTAATCTTAAATGCTATATAGCTATGCTCAAAAATTGAATTTATAAACATAAATATAGTTATCTTTTCTTTTGATCCATTTTTATATTCATTCAATTGCTCATTTATTTTTCAACTGAAAATCAAAATCTACTAAAACAGAAAACATAAATTTTTAATATGGTTTTCTAAATTCATCAGCCATTAACTTTCACAATTTTTCATTCTTTTAAACAACACATCATTATTTTTCTTTCTTTTGTAGAGTAACCTCATAGCATTCCTTTTTTGTTAGGCTTGCTATCATTTTTTTTTTTTTTTACACACACTTATTTATTCTTTCACAGAGCAAAAGACAAGTTTCCGGCCAGTTCTAGGGTTCTGATGAAGTGGAAGGAGTGATCTTATCTCCTTTCATAGCTACTAGAGCAGTTTTGAGTGACTTATGTGGACATCGCTACATCCAGGAGCGTCTCTTTGTATTGGAGAGAACAATATTTTCCAGAAGATCCCAGGATGCTTCCCATCAAGTTCTGGCATCAGGACCTGATCACGTGCCCTTGTTCTGGGTGTGAGCACGGCTGGGAAGCAAGGCTCTTGCACCTTCAGCCTCTTAGAGTGAGCTTTATCCAGCCAAGAAGGGCATGGGGAGGCGCACAAGAAGGCCGCGCGAGAGGCCGACCTCCCGACCTCAGGCCTCTGTCCCCATACCCCTTCCTATTTCCATGCCACTGCCCAGGCCATTACCGTTGGTGTCACAAGGCCTGAGATTCAGCCCTGCCAAGGGTTAGCCAGTGGGGAACTAGGCACTTTTGGAGAAGATCACAAGGCTGGCTTGCTATCATTTTCAGTACAATTCTGCAGGTGAAATATAGTTGACCTGTGACAGCCTCTGGTTTGTTATGCTGATTTTAAAATTATTATTGAGCAGTTGCTAAAGCAAAAGTGGATAAGGAAAAATTATGGTTTTGCTTAAAAAAATAGTATTTCTATAACTTAGAGATAGAAAATTCATTGCCTCTTTATTACTAAAATTATTTAAATACATTTAATTCATGTATAAACCACATTAATATGTGGAAGAAATCAGTGTGCACTTTTTAACTTTTATTTATCTAATTTTGAGGAAATTTAGATTGTTTATAATAAATAAATAAATAACATGGAACATGTAATTCCACATAAAAGTCTCCATTAAATCAAAGGAATAATGATAATTAAGATATATTTTCATATCTTGTACAGACTAATCATCCCTAATCAGAAAATTTTAAATCTGAAACTCTCCAAAATTCAAAACATTTTGAACAGCATCATGAAATGTCATAGTGGAAAATTTCATGCCATAACATATTGTTTCAAGTCCAAAAATATTGAAAATATGGTATAATATTACCTCCTGTCTAAATGTATAGAGTTTATATGGAGTAAAAATTAATTTCACATTGAGCCCTAGGTCTCATTTCCAATACATCTAATCACATATATGAAAACATTTCAAAATCTGTAAAATAGCTGAAATCCCAAGCACTCTCGTCACAAGTATTTAGATAAGCAATACACAACTTGTGCTACATTAGTATGAATGTCGCATTGTTCTTTGATTCATTTTAGAGTTAAATCAGCAAATAACATCAGTATAATTATTTTATGAATGAAGTTGTTGAGATTAAATATTATCAATTATAATTCAAATTAAAGACAGGATAAAAATAGATATTTTTCTGAAAATTGACTTTCTAAAATGTTTGGTTTACTTTTTGGCAGTAGACATTTTTTTGTAACCAATTTTTTTTCTCAAACTAAAAATTATGTCATATTACATCATGAAAATTTTTGACAAGGAATAATTAAAGGATTATTATCAGTGATCTAAAATTATGGTAGGTTGGAAAGGAAGACCTATATGGAATTAAATTGTTGCCAGAATGATCTACAAGGTGAGCTATTTAGAGCAGACTAGGAGATCTATAATACTTAGACCTAGAAAAGGAGATAAATACAAGTATTGTTGTACTTTGAGACAGAAAGTATAATTATAGAGAAGAAAAAGAATTAAATGCATGTAATTTAAATATCAATTTGAAACCTGGTGCTTGATGATGGAGTTTGTTATATAATTTAAATAAATTTTTTAACTCACATGATCAGTATTTGTCTTGGGGCATGTGTCCCTAGTTAATAGATATCAAACTCATAAAAGGGATCCAGCCATGCAAGCAGACTGAAAGAACATTCCAGGAGCAAAAGTCCTAAGGTAGAAACTATTTTATTAGGCTTAAATAAAACTTTACTCTGTTTGTAATATTCCTTGGTCATATAAAATAAAAAGGAGAAATGTAAAGTTAAGGATTAATTTAACAGTTATTAAACACCCTTTATGTGCCTGACATTGTTGTAATTTCGATGACCTAAGCAAGCTTGTGATATTTCCCAGGTGAACTATGCATCTTATTTAAGGGAGCAGTACCCTAAGTGAGTTAGTACAATAGATGTCAATAGACTTCCTAAGAAAAATGGGAAAAATTAACTCTTTGAGTTCATGCTTGGGAGGGCTACATTTAACATTCATTCAAAGGAAAATTGATAATGGAATGGAAATTTGACAGATTAACTGATATAATGGAGTTCATAAAAGTGAATTATTGAGAAGTCCCCAGGAAGCAATATATACAAAGGAATGCAGGTGTGAGAGCTCCTTTTCAGTTGCTGAGACCAAATCTCCAATGTGGATTGGATTTAGGGCACACAGGGACAGAAGTGGTTACCTGACACTCATTCAGTATTGTGGATATGTGCAGGATGGTAAGACAAACATTCATGCTTTTACTCTACAATGCTGTGGTGTTAATTAAATGAAACTATAACACATTTACTTTTATTGTGTATTTTCGACTTGCTGCTGGAGGAAGTTTTACATAGCAAGAATTGATAATTAAAATGTATTGTTTTCACATTTCTTCCATTTGCTATCTGTCCAACTCTTTTTATTTTATTTTTATTTTTTAGTTCAGCCAATTCTTCAGTTTTGTTTTGGTTTCATTTACCTGTAATCCATGTAGATTTAATTAAAAAATGTATAATTATTTATAAATCTTACTTTATAAGTAATTGTATTTAATCAATACACTTATCCACTTGTATTAGTAGAATTAAAGTGTGATATCTCCCCTTTTCTTTATTTACCTCTCTTAAAATTCCACAGTGAAATATAAGTCAGTACTTTTCAGTACCTACAGTCATACATATCATTGCTTCTGGCTAACCACAACTTGATTGATGCAGATTTTAAATATAATTTAATCTAAGTTCTCTGTGGATATTACTAATTAACCCACTAACTCTTGCCTGAGGTTGTATTAAATTTTTACATTGGAAAAATGATTTTCATAATTTCAGGGTTAAATTTTATTTTCCTCTGTGGTGAGCCGCTTCTGCCGTTTCTGCAGATTATGGTCGCCATTACAAGATGACGCTGGCTCCGCTGTGGTCTGTGACAAACAACTCCTTATCTGGGAAAGTTGGCACATGATTTTTCACCACCCTGTGAGAAAGCTCCACGCGGCAGCTTTGCATTGGGGCTTGGGATGCTTTATTAAGGCTGGGAGGGGCATCCGAGAGAGAGAAGAAGAAATATCAAGGGCCTGAATAAACTGCTGAAAGAAGATTCCTGAGTTGCGTCTTCCTTGCGGGCAAGGGGTCGCGACAAGTGGTGCCGAAACCCGGGAACCAGAACTTTCAGCAGTCAGGGGTGGTGCACCGGTTAGTCCCAGGTAAGTGGGATCCGCGACCAAAGCGGGGTTAGTCCCAATAAGTGGGATCCGCGACCAAAGCGGGGTTAGTCCCAGGTAAGTGGGATCCGCGACCAAAGCGGGGCAGCTCCTCTGTAAAGAAAGAGAGAGCATTACATTTTATTGCAGCTGCACTGTGTACTTTCGCTTTTGTTTTCTGTGTTTCTTTTGTTGTGTCATTTCGCTTTTGTTTTTTGTGCTTCTTTTGTTGTTGTGACGACAGGGACGCTCCCCTGTAAAAGGAAGAGAGCGGGGAATTCATAGAACGGAACGCTCCCCTGTAAAAGGAAGAGAGCGGGGACTTTTGTACTTTCACTTTCTTTATAGCTCTAAAAACATTATGGGCGTTGCTTCTTCAAGCCCAATTTTGTTGGCCCTAGATGGGTTGTTACATTCAAAAGGACTTAAGATAAAGCAGAGTTCTTTGCAGATGTTTTTAAGAGAAGCTGATATAGTGGCTCCTTGGTTTGCTTTTTCAGGGAGTCTTATGGTTCCCAGCTGGGACAAATTAGGGAAAGATCTAGATTTCGCTCATGAGCAAGGTACCTTGCAGGGTGGCATTATACCACTTTGGAAGTTAGTTAGAGGATGTATAACAGATGGTAAATGCCAGGAAGCTGTGAGTGAGGGTCAAGCTATTCTTGAGCAACTGCATGAGGAAAAATCTGAAGGATCATGTAGTGAAGTGGCAGAGAGTATTAAAAGTAACAGTAGTGAGAAGGCAAAAGAGCCTGAAGATAAAAATAGGAGAAGGCTCTACCCAGACTTGACCGAATTAAAAACGCCTGAGAACACAAGCAACTCAGAGAGTTCTGAGGACCTTGATATATTGTTACAACAACTACATAAGATAAAAATGAAAAAGAAGAAAAAGGAGACACAGGGCACGCAGGCCTACTGTAAGAAGGGGAAGGGAGTTAACATCGGTCAACAAAACTCTGAGGAGGAGGTAGAATATCTAGAAGAAGATATGGTGCCGATTGCCCCACCTCCGTTTGTGGGGGGGAGCCAAGGTTCCGGGAGATCTTTTCATGCACAAGTTTGGAGGACAGTTAATACAGATATGGGACTTGCATACCCTGTATTTCAGGACAATAACAGGGGAAGATATCATGAGCCTTTAGACTTTAAGATAATTAAAACCTTGGCAGAATCTGTCCGCATTTATGGCATAGATGCCGCTTTCACTCTCACTCAGGTGGAGGGACTTACTAGATTTTGCATGACTCCCTCAGATTGGGCTAGTCTAGTCCACGCTTGTGTTTCCCCAGGGAAATATTAGGAGTCCAAAGTTGGCTGTTTAATGTTTCTGGCAGTACCCAAGACTCGGAGCGAGGTAGGAGACTTAAAATTTCTGCAAACAATTCACAATTGTTTAATGCTACATTACCCTCCGCAGCAGTCTGTCTCCAATCTCCGTTCCTGTTTCTTTTGGCTAATGTTACATTACAGGGGATGCTTAATTGCTCTAATATTACCTGTTATTTGTCTGAGTGTTGGAATGGATCCTGGCCTATGGCAATGGTTATGAAAATTCCAACTTTTGTCCCGATCCTGGTTACTGCAGATCCAGAGTCATTTCCTATTGTTGAACTGATTGGAGCCCGTAGAGATTTTGGAATTACGGCAGCTATGGTGACAGCTGTGGCGATATCTGCTGCTGCAGCAGTTACAGCTGGAGTAGCCATGGCCAGCCAGGTACAAACTGCTGCCACTATTAATCAGGTTATTCAACAAACATCCACCATACTTGAATCTCAAAGTAGAATTAATCAACATATTTTATCTGGGATTCTGGCTGCTAATCAAAGGATAGATCTGCTTCAAGCTCAAGTTGAGGAATTTTCTGACCTAGTACATTTGGGTTGTGTTGACCAACGTGCACATTTATGTATAACCTCTGTCAGATTTTATGATTCCAGAAATGCCTCCCGTATCATCGGGGAATATTTATCCAGAACCTGGTCCATGGAAGCAGAAAACTTGATCCAGTCTCAACTAACTCAGATTGCTGTTTTGAATAGTACCCGTGTCGATCCCGTGACTTTGGGTCAATTCACAGATTGGATATCTTCTGCTTTTTCCTTCTTCAAAGAGTGGGTGGGGGTAGGCATTTTTGGTGCAATGTGTTGCTTCAGTGTTGTACTCTGTTTGTGGCTTCTCTGTCGCCTTAAGGCCCACAGTGCTCACGATAAGGCTATGATCATACAAGCTCTTGCAGCTTTAGAAAATGGCAACTCGCCTCAAGTCTGGCTTGCGCATCTTAAGCAGTAAACCTTTGTCATGGTCGTTACACCCCAAGTTATTATAACATTGCACTGGGATCGACATGACTTTCCTTGTTATTCTCTTAGTGTTGGAAAGCCCTTGCACTCTGCCGGTCTTACTGCCATTGCACGCAGATGGGTTTCCACACTAGTGCTTTTCTATCGCCTTGAAGTTCGTGCCTTTCTTTCAGGGTGCTGTCAACTTGTTTGTCCTTATAAGCAGCCACAGTTCAGCCTCAGCTATCCCCCTTCGTCCACCATCGTTACGATACAGGATGCGAGGCAAGGCACTGCACTTGAGTGATCCTTGACGTGGACCTCAAGGAGAGCATGTCCTATTGCATGCGGGTTAGACGCGTTCACGCCCCGCCCCACGAAAAAAGGCGTCGGCTGATATGGCTTCAGATCTGGGGAAGGCGCCTCCTTGGGACTGAGTCATACTATGCAGCCACTTCTGCACAGTGGGATAGGACCTCTACTCTCGCCTGTATTGTTTTAATAAAATAGAAAAGGGGGAACTGTGGTGAGCCGCTTCTGCCGTTTCTGCAGATTATGGTCGCCATTACAAGATGACGCTGGCTCCGCTGTGGTCTGTGACAAACAACTCCTTATCTGGGAAAGTTGGCACATGATTTTTCACCACCCTGTGAGAAAGCTCCACGCGGCAGCTTTGCATTGGGGCTTGGGATGCTTTATTAAGGCTGGGAGGGGCATCCGAGAGAGAGAAGAAGAAATATCAAGGGCCTGAATAAACTGCTGAAAGAAGATTCCTGAGTTGCGTCTTCCTTGCGGGCAAGGGGTCGCGACATTCCTCGAAATTGAAATAATAGACAACATCTGAAAGTAAATTTCAGGTATATAGATTCTCAGGGAGTACATTTTACAGACAAGCAATGAAACTAGCATCTTCAATTATGCTAATATATAACATGTTCTATAAAAATGCACTAAACTCAGTAGCACATAGTGAGGTGTTCTGCTCATATAGCTGGGACTTTTCTTCATGCCTTCTTGATTTTAAGTTGCTAGTACTCCAACTCTGTGCCCTGATTCCATCACTACTTTCAGAAATTTGTTCCTCTACTTTCTCGAAATCATTCAGCTCTGAAGTTCCAGTCATCATATCTCCTTATTGTAAACATTTCCAGATACTCAAGTCAACACCTTCATTCTATGAAGATATCATTCCCAGTTTGCTGTCTGGTCCCCCAATTTCTGTTTTGATAACTCTTGATGATTGCAATATCCATGTAGATTAAAGTTTTAAATTGGATCTCCTAATTACTTGATCTCCATTTTTTCCAATATCTTATCTTTCATGGTACCTTGGCTATTCCATGCCATGGATATACCCATGGATATTATCCTTTTCCTTACTAATTTTATTTTTGTGGTTATTAAATATTAAGAACCCAATCTTCAACTAGGAATTTCACTATATAGTCTCTTTGTAGAATCTAAATCTCAACAATTCTTTGGCTTCCCAAGAACATGAAATCATTTATTCTACTAAATTGAATGTATTTGTTGGTTTATTGATTTTTATTCAGTTATTTATTTATTTATTCTTATTTGTTCTACTTAGTTGTACATGACAGCAAGATGAATTTCAATTCATCGTACACAAATGGAGTGTGACATTTCAATTCTCTGGTTGTACACAGTGTGGAGATGCACCATTCATGCAGTCATACATGTACCTAGAGGTAATGATGTCCATATCATTTCATCATCTTTCCTACCCTCAGAATCCCTTTCCACCTCCCCTTTGTCCAAAGTTCCACCATTCTTCCCATGCTCCAACCCTCATCATAGATCAACATCCACTAATCAGAGAAAACAATCAGCCTTTAGTTTTTTTGGGAATGTCTTACTTTGCTTAGCATAATAGTCTCCAACTCCATCCATTTACTTGCATATGCCATAATTTTATTCTTTTAATAATGAGTAATTTTCCATCGTGTATAATATACCACAGTTTCTTTATCCATTCATCTATTAATGGACATTCTAGGTTAGTTCCACAGTTTAGCTATTATAAATTCAGCTGCTATAAACATTGGTGTGGCTATGTCACTATAGTTTGTTGATTTTAAGTCCTTTGGTATAAACCGAGGAATGGGATAGCTGGGTCAAATGGTAGTTCCATTCCAAGTTTTCTGAGGAATCTTCACACTGCTTTCTAAAGTGACTGCAGCAATTTGCAGTCCCATCAGCAATGTATGAAAGTACCTTTTCCCCCACATTAAATAGTTTTATGAAATGGAACTGACAAAACTGAATTTCATGCATTTGAATTGATAGGGCTTGAGATAACCATACATTCATAAAATCATCAGTAATGATAGCCAACATATCATCATCTCCAAAATTTTCTTGTGCTGCTTTGAATTCTATATGTCCCAATTGTTGGTCCCCTCTATCATAGGCAACTACTTATTTTCTTTCTAACACTACAGACTGTTTGACAACTTTCAGAGTTATATAAAAATGGAATTACAAAAGTATGACTCCTTTTTGCTTTTTCTTTCTGAGTGAAATATTGATAGCTCTCTCAATTTCTTCCAGACTACTTATTTAACATAATTACACAAATTTTGATGTGTAGTGTTTTTACTTTCATTCAGTAAAAGTATTTTATTTTGTATTTTCTTTCTTCTTTGATATGTAGTATTTAAGAAGTATAACATTTACTGTGATACCATACGGGGAAATTTCCCATGTTTCTTTCTAATTTAATTTCATTGTGGTCAAAGAACATAGTTTGTATGACTTGAATCCTTTTGCATTTATTGAGATGTGTGTTATGTGTCAAAAATTGGTTTATCTTGGGAAATGCTTTTGGTGCATTTAAATAGAATATGTATTTAGCTCTTTTAAATGGAATGAGTATTTAACAATATTAATTAGATAATGTTTGTTAGTGAAGTTCAATGTTTTTTGTATTCTTGTTGGTTTTCTGCCTAGTTATTCTTTCAATTATTGAGAGAAGAATATAAAAAATCTAACCATATTTAAGAATTGCTTAGTTGTCAATTTGTCTATTTCTACTTGAAGTACTATCAGTTTTTGCTTTATTTATTTTGAAACTGATATTAGATTCATAGGAATTCAATATTGTTAAATCCTCTTGAAGAACAAATCTCTCTTCATTATAAAATGACTCTTTTTTAAAAATCCCTAGTTATAGTCTTCTTCTTCTGAAATCAATTTTGATATGAATATCTAAAGTTTAGTTTTTTCTAACTATTATTAATATGGCATATTTTTCCTACATGTCAATTTTAACCAATGGGTATCTTGATATTAAAAGTGTATTTCTTTAAAAAAATGTTTAATTGATTTTTAAAAAATAAATGACAGCAGAATGCATTACAATTCTTATTACACATACAGAGCATATTTTTTGTATCTCTGGTTGTATATAAATTATGCTCACACCAATTCATGTCTTCATACATGTAATTTGGATAATAATGTCCATCACAGTAAGCAGAATAATGTTGGGTATTGCTTTTAAATCTAATCTGTGTATCTGATTTTTAATTGGTGTGTTGAGGCCATGTACATTTTATTTAATTATTAATATGCTTGGGTTTACTTTATAATATTTTAATTTATTTTCCAATTCTTTGTCTTTTTCTCTTTTCTACTCTAATTATTATTATGGCTACTCAATAAGGACTATCTCTGGTTCTCCAAAAATCTTCCTTCTGTTTAGCTTTATCTTCTCTGGTACTCTGTCCTCCAAATTCCATTTTCCATGGAATTCCCATACTCAACTCCCTCTCCTCCAATCAAAGAACCTGCAGGTCTTTGCTTCATTTCTCTCTTTCTTTACTGCAGCCTGAAAACTCAAGGTGCTAAATTCAAGTAATAGCTGGGCTCACCTCATTTCATTCCATTTTTGAGAAAACACTGTCATTAATTACTATTCAGCCTTGTGAAAGCTGTTTTCATCTTTTTTTTTCTTTTCAGCTAGGTAAAATCAGGTTGTTAGTAAATCTTTTTGGCTGGAAATGAAAGCTGGCCCAGGTAATTTTACAATTTAGCATAGCTCTTACTTATTTCTATCCTCTTTCTTCCACTTATATTCAGGTAGTACATTTTTTATTTCTGGTGCAATCTAATTTTGGAAAGAGAGAACATGGAAATAAATAAACTGTATTAAATAGAACATATAGAGTTACCTATCTGATGATCTAAAATAATGCAATGGTGTGGAAGGCCATCCTCCCACGTGATTTGAGTTACCTCCCTGGCTGGGCAAGAGGTGCTTAGACACATCCTTGTGTCCAGAGCTTTCCCCACCCTTCTCAGATCCTAGGGCTTGTCCGTGTGGAGGCGTGTCTGGCCACTACCCCAAAGACACAATCATCGTACCTGACCTTGGGACACTGCCCCCCTTAATCTTCATTGGATGGGATTTTCCCCAGAATTTTTTGTTTCCCAATAAAATTCCACTCCCTGCCATGTTTTCTCTCTCTCTCTCTTGCTAGCCTCTTCAGTAAACCTCACTACCATAATAGGTGGCTAGAGGCTGGAGCTAGGAGAAGCTGTCCTGGATCTGGTTTAAAGGTAATTAGAGTCTGTCTCTTTAA